TTATAGTATTAGCTGTAATATTAAACTAGCAGAAAATAAATTACATAGACATTGATTAGTTTTTAAATTCTTTGGTTTCATCATAATAATTATTACATAAAATCCTTGGTTATATAGTAGTGCTTGTCGTTGTTTCTCTAATTCATAAAATTTTCTAATATTAGAGAATTTTTATAGTATTCTAGTACTAGAAAATTTTTAATTATGTAATATTTTCATAAAAACGGAACACTTTAATGAATAACCTGTCTTGGTTTTTGATGTAATTGTTCCAGCTTAATTATATTAAATCATGCCAACTGCCATATAATTTACAAAATACATGGGTACAAGAATTGGTTACAGAAAAAAAAAAATTATATAATGATATTTGATATAAACCATACATTCGTAAAATATTAAATTAAAACAATTCTGAGAAATATTATCAGAGAAAAATCAACTTTATTTTAATCTTTATATATGAAGAAAAAGAATAATACTGATCAGCATAATTTTTTCTTAGAAAAGTAATGTTAGATTAAGGGTAAGTTATTAAAATCAAAATTTTGTAGAACAATCATCACTTAATTATTTAACAAAAACTAAAGTATCAATCATTATAACTTTTTTTTGAAATTTTCTATATGATTTATTGTAAGAAATACTGGAAGTTTACATTATAAACAGAAAAACTAAACAAAAAGAATAACATAGAATTACATTAATTTAAATTACAATTGGTTACAAAAAGTAATTTATCATGAATCGAAGAAAACGAAACTCTAATTTCAGAAGATACAAAAAAAAAAATTAAATCGATAATGAACGTGAAAATATAAAAAATTATATTGCTATTTTGAAATATTGGAACCCTGTGTATAATTTTCAAGTCAAATAAAAAGAAGCAGAGTAAATAAAATTAACAAATTTTGCACACAGCAATTTGAACACAAACTGGTTAGTTTCATTTGGTTTATATGGCATGGATCTAGTATTTGGTTTCCTTGTTACTTAATATTCAATGTTAACAAAGATAATTAATCTTAAGTGTAAAATAAGTTACTTTTATGTTTGTGGATGCTAGTTTATAAGACCAGCATTTTCATTATACAATTTAATATAAAAGAGAAGCACTGGATTAAATATCTGTACAAAATCGAAAAATTTTAGCTAAACTATTAGCAAACCGATCTTTCTTTATACAAATATGTAAAACCGTTGTTATTGACAATGTATAGAATACAAGATACTATGTACAATAAATTGTATATAATAGTCTTCTTACAACCCTTTAGTAATCAATATTCATCAAAAAAGATGGAAATATATTATTAATGTATGTGCGCGCGCGCGTGTGTGTGTATGTATGCATGTATGTATGTATGTTTGTTTGTATTGTATTGTATGTATGTATGTATGTATATCTATATATATATATTGACATATATATACATATATGACAATATGTATACATATATATTGTCTTACCAGCACATTTTTTCCTAATCGATCTCCTAATATTTCTTCAACTACAATTTCACTTCACTATGTATCAAACACTAAATGCTTAATGGATATCTTCAGATTAGAAGTCATTTCACTTTTTATACACATTTATCATTATTGAAGCATCAATGATTCCAAATTTCTATGCAAAATTGTGTCCTTTACAGCATTAAACACGACTTTTATATTTTCTGTATCCACTGCAGTAGTAAAATGATGAAAAAGTGGCTTTCTTGGATCCCTTTTAACTGATATAAACATTTCCAGTATAAAATTCTGCACATCCTTCATGGAATGTGAATCTCCTGTGAATTGTGGAAAGTACCAACGAACATTGGTGTCAGGTGATCTTACTTTTTTGTCTAACAAATCAGTTTTATTTAAAAATAATATGATAGAAACTCCACCAAATATCATATTATTAACTATTGTATCAAATATATTTCTCGATTCTTCCAACCGATTGGTTCTCCTGTATTAATTGAGGTAAATATTATTCAATAATTCAATGTTTTTAATATATACATATCAATACCATTTAACATACCTATCTTCTAACAACACTTGATCAAATTCAGATGATGAAACAAGAAAAAGTATTGAAGTAACACAATCAAAACACTGGTACCACTTCTGTCTTTGTGATCTTTGTCCTCCAACATCAACAAATAGAAATGGAATATTATTAATTTGTATTACAAATTCTGAAATTCCTTTTGTAGCTTTTCTACAATGTAAAATATCTTGATGTGTAGGTACATAATCCTGCAAAATAATTTCAACACATATAATGGGCTACTACTTATATATGCAAAAATAATAGAACAAGTTTTATGGACTATAAAAACATTCATGTATAAATTAAATAACTTTACCACTCTAGCGATCCTGTCAAGATTGTCCAAAAAATATTGAACCGAATCACTCTGTAAAGACAAAAGCATATTTGTAAAAAAAAAAACAATTAAGAAACAAAATGGATATTGTCATTCATTACTGAATATAAATGTATGTGCTTTACTTTTATATGTATGACAATTAAAACTAAAGCATTAAAAAATATAAAAATGCATATTCTTACTAATTGAAATTCTCTTCTTCTGTCAAAGGCTTTTTTGATTGATGCATCTTTCCATAAACTTTGTAAAGCTGGTACATAGTGAAGAAACAATCTTGCATCTAATATCATAGTATTTTCAAATTTTAATAACTGATAACCAATATCATAATTTTTAGGGTTTTCCCATGGAATATTCAACTTGTCACGGGCATCTACCAATACCTTCATTCCTTTAATTATGTTTTGATAAATTACATGTTGGTATTCTTTAATTAATTCAGGCTGAAACATATGATCATTATAAATATTAAAGATATAAACTTTATATATATGTACAACTTCTTATTCATATTTATTACTTTTTCAGAAACTTGAGAAGCAATTGCAACAGCCTACATATTCTTTTATAAATAATTTACAACCTGTTCCACATATTACAACATATATATTTAACGATTACAATTGCAATAAGTGGTAAAACAAAGAAACTGATAGATTATATGTGTACTTAACAGTCTATGCTTACATGTGAATATTTTTTCATATAATCTCTATGCTTTACATAAAAAATTATCTATAATGAAGCTTGTTTTTAACTGATAAATTTACAAATGCTATAAAGTGAAAATACACGAAGAAAAATGTAAATTTATTAAATCTCTTTATGACAAAAGTTAAACTATATTTGGAAAATTTTCAATGCAAAAGTATAAAAATTATTTGTTTTTACTTTAAACCTATTCTTTGATATTCTTAAATCATATGTTTTGGTTATGTACTTCTTTCCATAATTGGGATATTTAAATAATTATAGTAACAATGACAGAAGATTGGGCAAAATTGTATAAGTGAATTGCATACATGATTCAGAAAGAGAAGATTATGTAGAAGAACGAGTACATCCTGTGTGACATACTAAACGACGACTAAGCTGGAAATGAAATTGTCTGGTAAGAAAATCGAGGATGTCCTACCTCAAATTTGATTCCGTGAATAATTCGCATCTGTTTGAGGAATGTCGACTTTCCGCTCTCGCCTGCCCCGAGGAGCAGCAGCTTGACCTGTCGTCGAAGAGTTTGACGATCTTTCTCCAACATCCGGTCAATTTCTTGACTTTTATAACGCTGCTCGAGCTCCTCGGGGCTGAACTTGAACCGCAGGCAACAAGTACATGACCACGTTAAGGATCCCGCCATCTTGCTACCCTGCTACCCTCCTCTTCCTTCCTTCCGGCGTTCCTTCCGTGTTAGGCCGCCCTTCTGAAGGAATATATCCTTGATTGTTTAAACACCGCGCACACACGCACAAACACGCGACCCGTACACGAGTCTGTGTTCACGAGTAGATATCGTAACGTAATGTGTGTATCGAAAGAACCACTCGTGAACAACCTGTTCGTGATTGTACAGGATCAGCGCACGTCGCGATTCAGAACCGCATTTCTCACCTAGGCGTAGCCAGGGAACGCGACCACCGAACCAACGTCAACACACGTCGTCGTTTCAACTCAACACGAGACTCCACACCTACCGTTAATCGCGAGACTCACGCCGCTGGCTGCCCACGATCCTCTCTGGTTCCACGCGGATTGGACATGATTAAATAATCGTTCTAATTATCGAGTAAGAGAGCTAACTCGCGCATCGTTCTCATCGCATTGTATCCTCTCCTCTATATGAGACGTCGCTTTTGATGCAGAAAACTTTCTTCACGATTAATAACAGTTGTATCAACACGTACACACACCTGTACTTTTCTGTGTCGACACAAACATGTAGGGGTTCACCTATACCAAACTACATGATAATAATGCGGGGGAAGAAATATGCGAAACTGCGAACAGGAAAACTCCCCACCACCGCGCAACACATTTGTTGTGAGATACTGCCGCAACCCACACACGTACACAATACACACACGGTCTCTGACACCGACCGAAAGCGCACCTCTCGGTTCGGCCGCGTGATCGGTTTTGTGCGCTGTCATTCGTCGGAAGACCTTTTTTTTTTTATTCTTGTCGATACTGCAATGCACCGAGTCGACGATTCCCTATGAGTATCGTGTATCAACAATCAATCAGACTGCTTTGTTTATGTAATGAAGAAATAATAACTCATTTTCCCCTATCTTTATACCGTTAATGTACAAATTGCTTTATTCACGATATCTGTTACTATAAGTCTGTTTTTCAATTATGCATAGGAATTGATGACGAGACGACAGATTGGTGAATATGATGTCGATATTAACCAATCCGAGTAACTTGCTTTTGAGAACGTCACGACTTATTTTATAGAAGCGACCAAACTGTTGTACTATACAGATGGCGCGATTGTAGATCTAGATTGTATATGATTAAAGTTGTCAAATAGAAAAGTGGAAGTAATATTTTACATTTTAGAAAAATTTTTATAAGGTAAATATGTCGTTAGCAGATGAACTATTAGCAGATCTTGAAGAAACCGATGATAATGATCATGATATGGAAGAACCAGAACCGGATTTTATTCCGGCTTCTGTTTCTAAAACCATCGAAGAAGGTTAGTCGCTTTTTACGTTATTTTGTGTTTTGATAATAATACAATTGTTAATGATAATAATACTGTTAAACGTTATTTTAATTATCTTTAATTTAATGACAGTGATAAAAGTCGCTTCTGTGAGGGAATTAGCCAAACTTCGGGATTCGGATCTATTACAGAAAGTGATGGCTCAGATAGAAAAATATAATAAAGTACCTAGAAAGTCGGCTGATATTATTGGGCCTGTAGAATCTGATCCAGAATATCAACTTATTGTTGAAGCTAATAATATGGCTGTAGATATTGATGATGAAATAGGTATAATTAATGTTAAAAAATTTGTATGATTTACAGTGTTTTTGTACATATACATATGTCGTATGATTTATATATTTTCTAGCTACTATACATCGATTTACAAGGGATAAATATTCTAAAAGATTTCCAGAATTAGAATCTTTAGTTGTTGGTCCATTAGAGTATGTAATGACAGTTAGGGAATTAGGAAACGATTTAGACAGAGCAAAGAATAATGAAACATTACAACAATTTCTTACCCAAGCTACAATTATGGTAGTTTCTGTTACTGCTTCAACAACACAAGGGTAAATTATTGCATAATGAACTTCTAAATTGTAAGTAATCAAATTAAATTTATTGATTTTAAAAACAAAATTTTTTCATATATAGTCAATTATTGACAGAAGAAGAAAAGGAAGCTATTTGTGAGGCTTGTGACATGGCAGTGGAATTGAATAATTGCAAATTAAAAATATTTGAATATGTTGAGAGTAGAATGGCATTTATTGCACCAAACCTTTCTGTGATAGTGGGTGCATCAACAGCAGCAAAAATTATGGGTATTTGAAAAAATGCTTCTAATTATTGCAAGAAAAATAATTTTTCTTAAATATACATAAATCCTTAGACTTCTATTAATCAACATTTTACATTTTATTTTAGGTGTTGCAGGAGGTTTGACAAAACTTTCAAAAATGCCAGCTTGTAATGTTCTAGTCTTAGGATCTCAAAAAACAACATTATCTGGATTTTCTCAAGTTGCAACACTGCCTCATACTGGATTTATATATTATTCTGATATTGTACAAGACACCCCACCAGTAAGTTACATATTTTTCAAATACTTTTTTTGTTGTTTTTTCATTACTAATGTTTATTTGCTTTTGTAGGATTTACGAAGAAAAGCAGCAAGACTTGTAGCAGCAAAGAGTATGTTAGCTGCCCGTGTTGATGCAGCCCATGAAAGTACAGATGGCCATATTGGTCAAATGTTTCGTGAAGAAATTGAAAAAAAGCTAGACAAGCTTCAAGAACCACCTCCAGTGAAATTTGTAAAACCTTTGCCAAAACCTATTGATCCAGGACGAAAGAAGCGCGGTGGTAAACGTGTCAGGAAAATGAAGGAACGTTACGCTATTACTGAATTCAGGAAACACGCAAATAGAATGAACTTCGCTGATGTAAGTTTCATGAATTTCTTTTTTATTAAATTTCAACATAAACTAACTGTATTAATTTATTACTTTCTTGATGGTTTTACAGATTGAAAATGATGCCTATCAAGAAGACCTTGGTTATTCGCGTGGAACAATTGGTAAAGCGGGAACAGGCCGTATTCGATTACCACAAATTGACGAAAAAACAAAAGTACGAATATCAAAAACACTCCAGAAGAATTTACAAAAACAGCAGCAGTGGGGTGGTAGTACAACAGTTAAGAAACAAGTTTCTGGCACAGCATCTAGTGTTGCATTTACACCATTACAGGTATACTAATATTAATGTCATATATTAAATATTCATGCTTATAAGGAGATGGCAAGAATTTCGGAATTTCAATCGAATTGGTTTTACGTGCATTTGTAAAACCAATTTACGCTTTTAGCGATATACCAGTGAACGCTTTTAGAGTTCTTTTACCGTCGACCTAAGGGATCGAATGCACGTAAAACCAACTCGTTCCAGATTTCGAAGTTCTTGCTATCTCCTTGTTAGTGTAGTTTGCAGTATTATATTAAATATACACGTTTAATTATAGGGTTTGGAAATAGTAAATCCACAAGCCGCAGAGAAGAAACTAAATGAAGCAAACGCTAAATATTTTTCAAATACTGCTGGATTTTTGAAAGTTAAGAAGGCGTGAGAAGATTGTACATAATATAAAATGTAATGTATTCTTAACTAAGTAAATTTAGCTTTGTATACTTTCTTTGGTAAAAGTCATGCATGTGTTATTTATAATGTAAATGTATATTACATCATTCGAATAACAAAAAGAAATAATTATGACGTATAGAATTTTTGATAATCTTAATAATAAACTTGCTGTAAATTTCTATTTAGAAGCATTTAATTAAAAATATACTTAAAAGATAAAAATGAATACAAATGAGAAAGCAATATGATGAATGTTTATAATTTTGTTTATTTGTACATTAATCAAAGAGTCAACGGGTTTTCTTCTATTTATAAAGATAAAGGAATATATTGTTTAATAAGAATGTAACCAAAAACAAGTATATAGTCCCGAGTTTACATACATGCGTGTAGACTACTTGCAAATATGGTAGATGATAGACGACCTCGCGGTGAACCGATCGCAAAAATAAACAGTGCGAAAGACTCGGTAACTAGAGTGAAAAGGGACGTTGGCGTGTAACGAACTTAGAGAAAGAAGGATGGCTATACACATGTGAGATGCGAGAAAGAGCGAGAGATGCGGTTGTGGTGGTAAAAGGTAGAAGAGGGATAGAGAGAATACTGGGTGGAACGAACGGCAAACCAGAACTGGGTGTCGTAAGGTAATCGTTGACTGCTTTGAGTACTCGTGTGTGTTCTGACTTCGTTTCTCATCTCGGAAGAACGTTGCCTGCGTATGTTGTCTGAAGTTTCACGTCGATCGTGCGTTCCGCTCAATATTACGCGGGAAGTGCGGTTGTGTTTTAATTGTGACAGGAAAAACGTAAGAAAGCATTGCTGTGACAAGGTGGAAATTCTTGTTTCTTCGTTGTGGGCCCATCGAAGGAACCGGTGGCGAAGGAACAAGTCCTGACGATCGACAATGGCGACTTTTAAGGACTTGAAGAACGATTGGTCCGTGTTATGTCAGGATTGTACTGATTGTTGGACAAATTCTGGTGAGTCTACTTTCTTTTTTGAACAATCAAAACTATCATTAGAATATTTATAAAATTAATAATAAAAAAAC